ATGGGCAGCCTTTGGGCAGAGTGCAGGGAATCTTATGAAAGAAGTAGGAAACAGTAAGATCTGGAGAGGACAGGAACTCCACAAGGAGAGCAACAGAACCAAAAATTGTGAGCACAGGGGTCTTTCCTGAGACTGATACTCCAACCAAGGACTATGCATGGAGATAACCTAAGACCCCTGCACAGATGTAGCCCATGGCAGTTCAGTATCCAAGTGGGTTCCATTGTATTAGGAACAGGGACTGTCTCTAACATGAACTGATTGGCCTGCTCTTTAATTACCTCCCCGTGAGGGGGAAGCAGCATTACCAGGCCACAGAAGAAGACAATGCAGCCACTCCTGATGAGACCTAATTGACTAGGATCAGAAGGAAGGAAAAGAAGACCTCCCCTATCAGTGAACTTGGGGAGGGGCATGCATGCAGAGGGTGGAGGAAGGAAGGGATTGGGAAAGGAGGAGGGAGAGAACCACAGGAGGATACTAAGTGAATAAAGTGTAATTAATAAAGAATAAAAAAATAAATAAATAAATGGGACTTCATGAAACTGAAAAGCTTCTGTAAAGAAAAGGATACTGTACTGGAGTACAGAGCTAAACAGAGAGTTCTCAATAGAGAAATATTGAATGTCAGAGAAACACTCAAAGAACATCCTTAGTCATCAGGGAAATACAAATCAAAATGACCCTGATCTTTTACTTTACACCCATCAGAATGGCTAAGATCAAAAACTCAAGTGACAACACATGCTGGAGAGGATGTGGAGAAAAAGGAACCCTCCTCCATTGCTGGTGGGAATGTAAACTTATACAACCACTTTGGAAATCAATATGGCGCTTTCTCAGACAATTAGGAATAGCGCTTCCTCTATAACCAGTTATACCACTATTAGGCATAAATCCAAAATAAGTTCAAGTATACAACATGGACATTTGTTCAACCTTTCTCGAAGCAGCTTTATTTTTAATAGCCAGAACCTGGAAACGACCCAGATGTCCCTCAACTGAGGAATGGATACAGGAATTGTGGTACATTTGCACAGTGGAATACTATTCACCAATTAAAAACAAGGAAATAATGAAATTTACAGGCAAATGTGGGAACTAGAAAATATCATTCTGACTCAGGTATCCCAGAAGCAGAAAGACACACACCATTTATACTCACTTGTAAGAGGATATTAGACATATATTATAGGATAAACATACTAAAATCTTTTCACCTAAAGAAGCTAAGCAATTAGAAAGACCCTGGGTAAGATTATCAATCCTCACTCAGAAGGGCAAATGGGACTGCCATTGGAAGAGGGAGAAAACAGGGAACAGGACAGGAGCCTACCAGAGAAGTCCTTTGAAAGTCTCTACCCAGCAAGGTATCAAAGCAGATGCTGAGCCAACCTTGGTGTAGAGTGCAGGGAATTTTATGAAAGAAGGGGGAGACACAAAGACCTGGAGGGGTCAAGAGCTCCACAAGGAGAGAAACAGAACCAAAAATTCTGAGACTAATATTCCAACCAAGAACCATGCATGGAGATAACCTAGAACCTCTGCAGAGATTTAGCTCATGGCAGCTCAGTCTCCAAGTGGTTTACCTAATAAGGGAAATGGAGACTGTCTCTGACATGAACTCAGTGGCTGGCTCTTAGACCACCTCCTCCCCCTGATAGGGGAGCAGCCTTACCAGGCCACAGAGGAAGACAATGCAGCAAGTCCTGATGAGATCTGATAAGCTAGGGTCCGAGGGAGGGGGAGGAGGACCTCCCATATCAGTGGACTTGGGGAGGTTCATGGGAGTAGATAAGGAAAGGATAGTGGGATTGTTATGGGAGGAGGGAAGTGGCTACAGTTGGGATACAAAGTGAATAAACTGTAATTTATAGAATAAATTAATTAATTTTAAAAAGACAAATAATCTCCTTAATAATTATTTTTCAGTTACATTTAAAATGAAGAATTTCTCCCAAACTATACAGTTGTTAAGTGACAGATCTGGAATTTGAGCCCCAGCAGCTTGGCTGTAAAGAATGTGCTTGTAACTATTTATCATATTGCATTCTGAAAAGCCAAGCTTGAAGTGAATGTTGTCTACCCTTCCAAGAAGAAATCCCCCCTCAGGTCAGTGGTTGGCAAGGTCAAACAGGAACTGGCCGGTCAACAGTAAAACAGAAATGTGTTAGAAGGCTCTGATTGAAGCAGGAAAAAGGATAAATCCACCATGCAACTCCACACATTCAAGCGTCTCCTTGTTACTGTGAACCCTCTCCTGTGAACCCTCTCCAGAAACCAAAATGGAACAAAAGCTCAACTCTTCATGGGACACTCCATTAGGGTTCAACTTAGAGCCTCTGCAAAGCACCAACAACCTAAACAAACAGAAACCCTGCCTATGGAAAAGACATCATCAGAAATGAGAGGACCCATCTACATAGAAACTAGATCTTTGAGAGACTGAACTTGTAATGTTAGGAATACTTCCCATATTATTTACTCCATCCCACCAAGTCATTCAGGTATTTGAATACAATGTTAATGTCTACTCAACTATCCTGGGTATGCTATCCACTCTAACATGATCTAAGACAAACTCCAAATTAGATACTAGCCCTGGTCTCATTCCCTCTTCTTCACTTATCCTTTGCAGTTGACTTTTTACCAGTGACTTAATTCCAAGGAATCTGGGTTGATCAGCCTAAGTAGCATAGAGCAACTTCCTAAGGGGAAAGACACCTATTTTAAAGCAGTCCTAACTTATGGACTTCAAAGCAAAATTGAAATGATTTACAGCTTCCTCTCCCTCCTCTATTAGATGTAACAGTGAGCTAAGAAGATGAGCTCTGCCTGAGCTGTAACAAGGATGTTCTTGGATTTCTAAATGTTTAAAATCATCCATGTGGTTACTTCAAAACCATTACTATGTTAGCAGATACTTATAGATAGAAATTGACACATCAAAACACTTCCTGTTGTATTGGCACTTCAGAGGAGTACCCAAAAGTACTATATTAAAAGAACAAAATTAGAGTAGGCACAAAACTGTCAGTCATTTTTCTTCACAAAACAAAAGAGGAGGCAATTATTAAATTGTCATTGTCTTAATGATAGCCCACTGATTAACTGTGATGCATGATTAACCTCAGCTCTGTTTTACAAGCATCCTTAACAGCAAAATCATATAAAAGGTGTTCAAGTGTTTAACTGGAAGTAGGTTTATTAAAATTGAAGTTGTCTCTTCTTCTCCTGGAAGCTAAGCGAGCTTAAGAACAGCTAGGTTCACACAGAATAAAACTTTATTTGTTGGACATTTCTTTTAACATTCCAAACCCAGTTGTTGGAAGTGACCTTACTGAGAAAAGCCAACTCCCAGTCTTAGGATGAAAAGCCATACCTCTGGTCCTAGATTTTCTTTCTGAGAATAACTGGTGTTCTCTTATACATTTATATGGCTATCAGAACAAATACTTAAATAATTTCAGCAGTGACAAATCTTTACCTTTCGGGCAAAGTTTGTTTTGGAAACATCAAAAGTCATTCGGAGCACCTTGGGTGATTAATACATAAATTAGCTTAAACATGATATGATTTTCTGGAACCCAGGATGCTGAACACTTTAAAAGAATTTTTGAAGGTTCATTCCTGAGAGATGAAATAAAGCTACCACTATCCTCCTGAGGCAAAGGTTAAGTTTCAGTAGGTTCAGGACTCCCTATTCTAACCTACTGTGTTTCCTTCAGTGCCTCAGAAAAGCAACATTTCCTTGGGTTGATAAAGCTGCTTGGCTTCCCTGGGACTGTGAACAAAGAGTCAGTGATCCTACTCTCTGGAAAAGGAATTTGTGGTGATGCTTTCTTAGTCTGTTTTCTATTGCTATACATGAACAGCACAGCCCAATTTTTAAAGGATGGCTATTTGTTTCACTAATGGTTTTTGAGGCTGGAAAGAATTTGCCCAAGAATTTGATACTAGCATCTGGTGTGGGCTTTTATCCTGTATCATAACCAGGCAGAGGCATCACATGATAAAACAGAGCAAGCAGGCTAGCTTAGGTCTCTCTTCCTCTTCTTAAAAAGCCACTAATACCAGTATTGGGATTATACTTTTTATTCAATCTTAATTACTACTCTAAGATCCCACCTCCAAATACCATTAGCATATGACTTTGGGAATTAAAGTTCCAATCATGAAATTTGAGGGATAATGGCAAATCATAGCACCATCCCTGACTTAGAATTTACCATGCAGCTTATAGCCTGAGCTCTGGAATGAAGCAATTGTGATTTTTGTTGTTGTTGTTGTTATTTGGGGCGGAGGCTTGTTTGGATTTTTTGTTTGTGTCTTTGGTTGTTTGGCTGGTTGGTTTTCGTTTGGTTTGGTTTGGGTTGGGTTTGGTTTGGTTTCATTTATTTTGTAAATGTATGTAATTTCTTTAAGTCTCCAGTCACTTTGGTTCATAGAATCTCTTACTTTCTTCATAGCTCTGTCATATACCCTCTCTCTCAGATAGATCTCCAAATCTAAATCCTTGGGGGGAATCTGGATAATGAGCTAACTTTACCAACTGCCCCATTAGGAGGTATCCTTACACTGGGCATTCTATATCCATCAAAGACAGCTTTATCCTACTTCTCTAAGGAGGCAGTCATGGAAAAAGAGCTTCCACTGGAAGCACATGGACAACAGTATGTCTGGTACTGTTGATTCTCTTTTGAAGCTATCCTTGCTATGGGGGTGGGGAAAGCTCAGCTTTCAAATAAACAAAGCTGGCCTCCATGCCTCCAGTGCTCCCATTCCTGTGTAGCCTTCCATGCCTTCTCCTGCCCCAACCTACAGGAGCATTATGTCTCCTGTGTCCCACCCAGGGGTCTCCACCCTCTTGCTTAACATCTTTCTCAACCATCCATGGACCTCTACTCCATTGCTCACCTGGGCTCTCGTTCCAGTGTCTACATCACTTGCAAGAATCCAGCAGCTCCTCTCCATCTTTGGTCTCTCTCATGTGTCTGCAGGGCCTGCCAAGTCCCTTCCTGCGTTGCCCTTCACAAAGACTCTTGGATCGTGTGGTTCGACGCTATGCCGAAGTGGCTGATGCTGGCAGCATTTTCATGGACCACTTCACCGACCGTGACAAGCTGCGTCTCCTCTACACGCTGGCTGTCAATGCACACCCCATCATTTTGCAGGTACTGTGACTCCCACAAGCCCCCAAGTTTTGTTACTACTTTGGACTCTCAGACACCTCCCCTAAGTTGATTTTTCTCCCCTTCTTGCTACATGTCTTGGGGCCACAAATCTGTACCAGTACATTTACAACATCAGGTAAATGTTTGCCAGCCTTGGCAGCTAGTGAGGAAAGAGGTATGGGACGGTAGGGCTGAGGGTGTGGGTAGCAGGGAACAGTAGCCAACTTTAAAAAGTTGAGGCAGCCAAGAAGGGCTTTGTGAAGGAAGGCAAATTTATCTCTGCCACTAAGGTAAGTAAGATTTGAGCAAGCTCAGGGGCTGGTGAAACAGCCACCCAGAGATGCACCCTGTGGCTATGTTTGGAGAAGAGAAAAGAAAAAACTAGAAGTGGCATAACTGAAGAGCAGTCAAATTAATATGGATGTACTGGGGCCTGGGGACACTTAGGGAAAAGAGATACTTACTATGTTAAGAGGCATCCACAGAACTTGTGCAGCTAAATCTCCCTGACAAGCGTCAGGACATCTAAATGCCATAACAGACAGAAAGGATAACAGAGGTTGAAGGGGAAGAAAGGGGAATGAAAGAAGAGTTAAAGGTGGGGGATGGGTGGGAGAAGAGAAAGAGTAGTAAGAGAGCAGAAGGGAGGGAAGGAGGAGGAAAAAAAGAAAGAAAGAAAAGCAGGACATAGTGACATAATGAGACCATCTTTTAAAGTACCATAATATAAAGATACAGATAGAGAAAAAGGGAGCCACAACAAAGAAAGTTCCTAAATATTAGCCAAAAAGCTAATGGCTGGCTACACAATGAAGACTATTGGATTCTTACTACATGCCAGATGTTTTACTGAAGATTTGCAGTCACCATCAGTTAGTGCTCATTGTGAAATCCCCCCAGGATGTTAGTTTTGTCTCCGCTTGGGCTTAGATAAAAAAAAAAAAAAAAAAAGTGTCAGCCATGAAACCTAATCCTAAAGGTGTCTATCATCAGAGACATCAGAAGCTGTACTCTTCCTGCTAAAACCTGCCTAGTATCTTTGTCACTAAACATTCTAATGACAGAGAAGGAGCTGCCATTTGCCCTGCATGCTCAGGGATCTTCTTGGAGGCCTTTTACCCACAATACTAGCTTTTGTTGCCACCTTGGTTATCCTAAGGCCTGGCTCCTGAGAAACCTGGCCTGTGACCATGGGGCTGAGACACTACACGTAATCCTGGGCTTTATCCAGAAAGAATGTGGTATGGGACCCAGGAATGACTTTGCACATTTATACAAGGTCAGTAAGTCCAGGATGTCCCTCTGAGACAGAGAAAATTCAAAAAGCAAAGAGCATGAGTTCTTTATAACATGACTTAAAGGGGGTAGAAGATAGCAGAAAATTGTCAGAGAGAAGGAGAGACAGACAGACACAGAGAGAGAGCTATCATGTCTACTTTTTGTTTTGTTTTCTGTCATGCTGGGGATGAGACCAAGGGCCTAGCTAAGCAGTCTGCTACTAAGATGCATCACCCAGACTTTGTTTACTTAAGAAGGTAAACAAAGGGTAGAGCGGTATTTGTAATTATTGTTATCTTTTCTAGTTCTAGGTTCATTTTAAAAAAGGATCAACAATTGAAATCCTAACATGGACATGGAGTATTCCACATACTTGAGATAAAGTATGTGGTCCTAGCTTGAGATAAAGAGCTACAGGTGGTCAATGGCTACTAAGAGAGGGAAAATAAGTCTTTTTCTGGACAAAATCCCACATAGACTGTCCAATTGCAAATGGTCAGCTCTGGTCACATATGCATATGAATAACACTAAATGAACTCTGTAGGTTATATATACATGTGTGAAGATATATGTATATAAATATATGTATCTATGTGTAGCAATAATAAAGACTAGAGCATAAATTTTGGAGAAAGAAGGGGGACAGAGGAGGAAGTAGAGGAAGAATGGATGGGTGGTAGTGATGGAGATGCAGCTCATTTATTAAGTGTAAAAAAACAAACTTTTCAAAATGGCCAAGAAAAATCCAGCTAGTATTCCCTCCTCACTTTTCATCTCCCAAATCCACAAGTTGAGTGCTCTTACAAGGAGACAGGATGGGCTACACTTTCCCAGATCAGTGCTAGTCTGTCTAGAAGCTTCCCTCCATTTAAGAAGAATTTTTGAGCCTGTAGTTTCCTGAACTAGTCAGATTTGCTCAACCTAGCAGTGGGGACAGCAAAGGGACAGACATCTGCATGATACCTGTCCTCTTCCAGAGCCAGGTACTTGCATTGTTCTATTTATTCGTGAGCTCTGTTGAGCAAGCTGGCCTCAATCCTCCTGTATCAGCTTCCTGAACTGCTGGGACTATAAACACACATAATACCTTTCTTGAAATAGTTGTTGTTGTTGTTATTATTATTATTATTATTATTTTATTTGTCTTGCAGTTAAGCCTGAAGTTGATCTTTAATTATTTTTCCATGGCTTCTAAGCAATGAAATCTTGAAAATTGCAGACTAGTCAAATTTTTTAAATGACACAACTTAAAAGAAACATATTTGCTGAATCCTGGGTACCACTGAAAATTGGTTAGCATTCTCAGGTCCTACTTGGAGAAAGTTGTGAAATCTGATCCACAGCACAGATGAGAGCAGCCTCCTTCCTGAATTCTTCCATCAGCAATGCACTACAAAAGTAGGGGAAGGGTGGGAGCCTTACCATGTTCCAAAAGGTATTAAAAAGTTGAAGAAATGTTTGGCCAGCATGTTTTGAGATCCACACTGGCAATAAAAGTTACTTATGTGGGCTGTGGGTGAAAGTAGAAAGCTGCCTCTGTGAGATTTCTCTTTCTGTGTCTAATGCCTGCTTCTTCTGACTTGGCAGATCTTCCCTGGGGCAGAAGGCTGGCCAATGCCCAAGTACCTGGGCTCCTGTGGTAGATTCCTGATCAGTACCAGCACCAGGCCACTGCAAGAATTTTATGATGCACCTCCAGAGCAAGCTGCTGACCTTGCCTACCAACTCCTCGGGGTCCTGGAATCCCTGAGGAGCAATGATTTAAACTATTTCTTCTACTTCACCCATGTTGATGCAGGCATGTTTGGCATCTTTGACAATGGGCATCTGTTCATCCGGGATGCCAGTGCACTAGGCATCATCGACAAGAAGGAAGGTACTCAGCATGAGCTTCACAGAGCAGCTGTCAAGGGGGATGTCAGGGTGACCAACGCTAAGGAGAAGTGATCTGGGGTCACACTTAATCCAGGTTTTGGAAACAGTATTGGTCATAGAACAATGTCCCCTCACCCCTTTTTCAATTTCTTTTCATCTTCATTTCTGAAGGAAAAGGGAACATAGCCTTGCTTGTGACAAACATTGTCCATGGTGGTATAAACTTAGGTGAACCCTCCCAGGGCAGTTCTCTATTTCACTCACACACACACAAGTCACAAGCTTTTCTCCCTCAAGTTTTTCTCCTTAGATGTTCTTAGCTCTAACCTAAAACATAATTCCTGGCCGGATACACAAGTACACTTTGCAGTGTCAACACACTCACTTTGTAAAGTTTGAAAATTACAAAAACAAAGAAGCAAATGAGATATGTGAGAAAGTAATGTTTCTCAATGTTTACAAAGGTTCAGCCAGTGCTCTTGAGTTTATTAACCAAGAGTTTCTCAAGGTGACCAAGTGTGCAGAGCACAATAATAGGAAAACAAAGATTTTTTCCAGTTTGTGACACTTTTTTTAAAAACAAACTCAGCAAAAACAAAGAAACCAAACCTCTTTTCTTCCTGTTTTACCTTTACTAAGAAGAATCAAATTAGAAGGAAGGTTGATCACAGAGTATTCAAGCTATGCAAAGATCAGTCCCATTGCATATTCTGGATGGCATGACCCCCTACAAACAAATTTTTATTCTAAATGTGCAATCAAACCAATCTTATTACCATCCCTATTTCCCTAATTCAGTAATAATAGGAAAATAACAATGTGGTTATGATTTCTACAATTATAGTCCAGCTCCCCAGGAACAGTGGTTTTCCCAAGCTTGGACCTTCGCCTAATTGTGGGAGAGTGTTACTCAATGCTGTTCTCTGAAGGGGCTGTTATGTTTCTGATCCCTAAATCTTCCAGTGATAGAGAAATACTTCGAAACTAAACCATTTCACTCAGCAATTCTAGTTGGCAGTGTCACACCCCATCGTAACACACACACACACACACACACATACACACACACAAACGAATAGGTTGTACAGTATCTGATATTTTTGATTTCTTTTCTAGGCAGCCAAGCAGCTGCTGGGACTGGAGAGAACGAAGACATTTTTAGCTGCCTGGTTTCTGGTTACCAGGGCCAGATGTCCTCCTGTGACACTATCCCTGAGAAGCAAAGCCAAGTGCTGGCATGTCAGCAGTTGCTGCCTCAACTTCTTCGGGGAAAGTTTCCCTCCCCTGTGCAAGAGGAAATAGACTCTGCTCTCAGCCTGTGTAGCAAGGATTCCAGCACAGACCTGGAAGTTCTCGAAGCCACCAGTCGGCTGAAGGACATCTTGAGACCTCTGAGAACCTGTGATCCTAGATTTGCCTACCGTTACCCAGACTGCAAATACAATGACAGGTTTTGAGTGACTGGGGCCTCACTAGCCTGAAGGGACAATCCATAAGCTCTTCCATGTCCTTGGTTGAGTTGCTGCCAAATTGTAAAAAGCAATTCAATTTTAAATATTTAAGTACATTCGTTTCCTAAGAAGCACTCAAAACTAGTGAGAGAACCCCTGACACTGCATGATTGGTATCACTGGCTAGTACACCATGGCAGAGTCAGGAGGTAGACATAGGAAGACCCAGGTGTGAACACTCAATGTCTTTGAACCTCCGTTAGACTGTCGCAAGTTAAAGAAAATAGAGATATGAAGGGCACAGAAATACAGTTGCATCCCACAAAGCATGTTCCAGAAGCATACACAGGTAGGGCAAGTGAGAAAGTTCCACGTGTTGTGAGGTTGCTATAGGTAGAAGGCTTTTTGAAGTCAGGACTTTAGGCTGCTGGAACTTAAGGTCCTACTCTCTTACATCTATGAGAAGATACTATAAGCCAGAGGGATGTGCTCACACACAAGCAGCTACTGTACCCTGTAGGTACCAGGGATTCCTTATACATGTGCAGAAGTGAATCACCACAAGAACTGGTAAGGCACTAAAGGTAAGAAGTGAGCAAGGGCAACTGGGGCCAATGTGCTTGCTCAGGTCCTCTAAAAGGCAAGTGTAAAGCACAATTACCTGAGTTTTTTTTTTTTTTTTTTTAGAGGACATGCATATGGGCAAGGCAAGAAGAGAAACAGGAAAAGCTAAAAGGTCAACTCATGCTGTGGTCTGACCCTCAGCAAAAGATAGCAATGCAAGAAAGACTGTCTGGGTGTCTACAAGACCAAAATGGAGGCATACACTAAAGGAGCCTCATATCTCCCATGAATAGATCCATTTTACTATCTCTGTGTATTCAGAGATAGCCAGAACAGGCTGCAGCAAGTGCGACTACAGCTTACTTGTAAAGACCAATTTCAGGGCACAGCATCCTGAGGCACTGGACAGGTTCTATTGCTCATTGTACCTGCAACCTGGGACTATGGCCTGCTCTCTTCCTACCACATGAGGAGTCCTAGAACTCTCATCCAAATGTAGCCTTACCAGCCATTATAGAAACAACTTTTTTTTTTCAAAGTCAACCAATGGAATACAGTTTACTCAACAACTGCTTTGATATTCCTTTGAAATATTTAACTACATGGTTTATAGGGCTCTATGTATGACATCATTTAGCCTAAGACCTTTGCCTAACCTCCCAGCAAGACTTCTACTCCTGGAGATTGTTCTACCTCCTATTGTCTACCTCTATTTCAGCACCTTGGAATTCAGAACACCTAGCTTAACAAGCCTCGCTATACACATAGGGAAACAGAGACTCAGGGAAGCAGTGATTTGCTGGTATACTGCTAAAACCTTCCCTACCAATCCATTCCCCTGGTGCCTTCCTCATCAGTCTCAGACTCTCATCTTGGACTTTACAATTCTAATTTCATTCACATTTAAAGTTTAACCCCAAGGATCCTGTCTTGTGGTATACTGAGTAGCCTTCTGATTTTGCCTTTCGACTACTCGAAAGCAAATGCTGTTTTTGTGCAGCTGTGTGCAAATCTGCAGTGCAGGCCAAAGGAGGACAGATAACCATTAAGCAGGGCATAACACTTTTGAGTTGGCTGGAAATGGCTCCCCATCTAGTGACTTACTGCAAGGTCAGGAGGTTGAAAAGTCCCCTTTCTCACACATTTTGAGGACAAAGCAGACTTATTCTCGTCATCATGATTAAAGACTTAGGTGCTATCTCCACGTGACATCCTCTCAACTCCATGCCATCTTTTGTTTCTGCTACAACCTATCTGGAATAGACATGCAACAGAGGGACCAGGATTCCCTTCACAAGGGACACATCTTTCCTAAGTACAGGAGTGTCATTGGCAAGAGGCACTGTCAGCCCTTTGGACTCTACTTTGGTCACTCTGTGGCTTCACTCTAAGCCACATATGTCCTAAAGCATGCCCATGCTGAGTCACTGGGCTTGGAAAAATATAATGCCTTGACCAATTTGGCCCCCTTAGCTACAACTCTGATGGACGATTGTTATTCCAAATTTCTCCACACATCAGACCAACATACTTCTGGGTCTGCATCGTAGTCTAATTTCCATTGCTCCTCCTTTTCCTCTGAACTTTTTTCTACAGGTATTGACTAAACTACTTGTACCAGGGAGAGACCAAAATGGTGGTTCCAGAAAATTATGTTAACATCTAAGTCCTCAGAAGCTGTGACAATTACTTCACATGGGAAAAGATGTGGTTAAGGATCCTGGGACTTTGCAGGATTATCTAGGTAGGTCCTAAGTGTCAGCTCGTGAGTCCTCTTAAGAGGGAGGCAGAGGGACTTTTGAAAGAGAAGAACCAGTGATGTGAACATAGAGATGAGGACTGAATGATGAAACTATAAGCCAAGGCACTCATGCAGTCACTAGAAGTGGAAAGAGAAAAGGAACAAATCCTTCTGCCTGATCCTCCAAAAGGAATATGGCTCTCATGATACCCAAGTTTAAACCCAGCAAGCCCCAAGAACTGTGAAAGAATGCAATTCTCTTGGTTTGCACCACATTCTTCAAGTTTATTTTAGCACTTGCAGGAATCCAATATACACTCTGAAGTCTGATGAGTAGCACCTTCCAGAGAGCTCCACCTACAACATTTAACCTCTGTGTGTAAATGGAAAGTGATAGTGAAGCTGAGAATGCAGTGCACCAGTACAGCACTTGCCTAGCATGCTTGGGGCTCTGGTTTCAGTCCCCAATACAGCAAAAGCATGGCCTGGCATGAGAAAGTATAGGATTTATACAAATCAGGGTTGAGGGCTTCCTTCCTCTGAAGCTCTAGACACTGCTCAGTCCTATGTTTATGCAGAGGCTTTCTTGATTTGCCATCCACCAGAGATGAATCTGTCCACATGTTTATGCTTCATTTGAGTGTAATTTCAGGAAGATCTATATCTTGCTTGCCATCCAGCTCAGAGCTTCCTGAGTCTGGGGGTGATGTGGTGAACGTTGTGTTTACCATAACAAGGGAGGGCTGGACACAGCAGAAACAAGGAAGTGTTCCTAGGGAGAACAATGACTGTCTTCTTCAGCCCGTCCCTACATTGTTCACACACTATACTGACTACCAGTCAGATAGAGCCACTTCTTAATAGCCAAGAGACAGGTGAATCAACACTCTAGAGACTTCAACCAGAATGAAATTATATAGAGTTATTTTCTACACCCTGGGATTTGAGAGGAGGCATTTTGCCAGGTTATATAAGCCACACATTTTATATGATTTGTGAGACCCCCAAAAATGGAAATGTGAGCTGAATCTATTCATAAACAACTAAAAGTTGCAAGATGAGATAGCAGAGCTAGGCTGCGGCCCTCTACTGTGTAGGTCACAGGCTCACCACACTGGCCAAGGGGAGGGACTGTAGATACAGGTTCTCCTTACACTTGGCATTGAGTGTTGCTGGAATTTACTGGGGACTCATTTTCCTCCACACCCAAGGGGAGTGAGTGTTGGACAGGAGTGAAATATAGTATGCCAAAGATGTATGAGGTCAGACTCAGGCAGCTGCAGTTATCAGAAGTATATAACAACTGCACAACCTGTCTGAACAGGAGAATGCTATTTTCAGTGGTTTGTTAAGTCTCCTGCCTGTGTATCATCTTCCTCTGTGGCCTGGCAAGGTTGCACACACACACACCCCAGGAAGAGGTGATCAAAGAGCAGGCCACTGAGTTCATGTCAGAGACAACCCCTGTACCACTTACTAGCAAACCCACTCAAAATATATATTTTAAAAAGGAATCTTGTATTCTAATGTGTAACCAGGTTTATATGTTGATGTTGGTTGTCTTAAAGTATAGAGAAAGTAAGAAATTGTATTCTGTGTGTAAAATGTTTTAAATAAAATGGAAAATGTGTGTTCTATTAAAAAAAAGTCTCCTGCCTGTGGTCTTGCAACATCTGGCTTCTGCATATAGGTGATCCCCTCAGCCTGAACATCTTCTCTGGAATTAGAACAAATGCTTTGTTGAAGCTGAGCAATTTGGGGAAAATTCTGATCTCTGGAAACAGACTGAGTTGCTATCAAGTCATGACTATCCTGTTACTGGGAAACTTTGGCCATATTGGTTTACATTTTTCAGGACTTACTTTCTGTGTGTATAAAATAGGGAGGAATATTTCTTGCAGAAATATTGTCCCCTTTAAGTGATATGATGTCTCTATTTGAAAGCAAATGTAAGAAAAGAACGGAGCTTTCTCCATAGAGAATGCAGTGCCATCTTGGAGAAGATCCTGATTCTTACCCAGGGAACCCCCACAATACCTCTGGCTAATAAACAATCTGACTGTGACCATTTTTAGTGTTTCTCTGGTCCAGACCCTGGAGTACTTGTGAAAGACAGCTGGGCAACCTATATCCCTTCCTCCTTCCCTCCCTATCTTAATCCTCCAGTGAACTCAGAAGGGACTCTTCCAGAAAATGTGGTATGGGGAGCCTTTCCGAGTCCACCTGTCCTCATTATGTGAAGAAAAATGAGGGCATGTTGGGTTAGTGAGCACCAGACTCCTAGCTGGTTCGTGGTGATATGGCTCCCCACCCACTTTACCCCTGTTGTCCATATACATTGGCCCAGTTGAGCTCACAGGAACATAAGATATTCTCTTATCAGCTTGTCCCTCTTGAAGGAACTTTAAGCCAAAGGAAAAGGTTACACCCAAGCAAGGGACAACAGCAATTGCAGATAAAACAGTTCTCCAAAAACAAAAAACAAAATAAAACAACGACAACAAAAAAAACAGGTTGGAGGCATTGTTCAGCAAAGGCGTGTTATGCGAGTGACCCATACATTAGAGCTCTTTGAAGAGTCAGGAAGAAGACAAAAGAATGTCTGTTACACTCAGATGACCAAATGTCTTTAGGCCTGGACTATGACCTTAATGCCAGCAAGACAACCCCAAGGGAAAATTGGCTCTGGGAGCAAGCATGTACCCCTTTGGATCCTGCCACAGTCACTTGCAAAATATGAAAGTTATTCTTTGCAGGAATGATATTTGTGACAATCAAGTAATAAGCACATCATTTGTGACAAATAAACAGTTATGCACTAGAATTGCCAAAAGTTGGAAGCATCATAAAGGTGTCTACACAGGACAGAGGTAGAATGAACTATAATGTATCCAAACAATGGAATGCCACACCCTGTGCAGAGGGATAATGATACGCTCCAAGAACTCACATGATGGAAAACACCACAACTATTTCTAGAAGGCTAATTTTTGTGCAGAAAAGAAG